TAGAGACCAGGCTATCTCTGCTATGTTGCCCAGGCTGGTCTCGAACTCCTAGGCTCAGCCAACCTTCTTGCCTCTGCCTCCCAAAGTGCTGGGATTACAGGTGTGAGCCACTGCACCTGGCTTTCCTCAATTTTTAAGAGTTCTTTAAATATAAGCGATATGAACCCTTTATCTGTGGTACATGTTACAAATGTTTTAAAAATCATTTTTATTGATTCCTTGAAAAATAACAATAAACCTATGGCACATTAACATCTAAGAATGTATTTTTATGAAAATAGCTTTTTCAGGGTAACCCTCTCTGGTGGCCCCTTTCTGTTCTGGAAGCTTTTCTGTCCTCTCAATAAATTCTGCTTTCTCACAAAAAAGAAAAAAAGAAAAGTTCTTTCTCAAAGCAAACATTTCAAAAAGAAAAGTAGCATTGTTTAACATTTTTGCAATAGACTCCCACATCTGCTTCTGCATTTGATATGTTCTGTAAAGTATTTTGGGTTGCAATATATGAGGAAAATCCAATCACACATGGTGTGTGTGTGTGTGTGTGTGTGTGTGTGTGTGTGTGTAGGGAAGATGGGTATTCTTACGATGCTAGAACTTGTCAGTGGTAGGTTTTTAACTTATGATTATGTTTGATAAATAAATCATAGTTGTATACATTTACACGTACAGTGTGATGTTTCCAAATATGTACATACTGGGAAAAGATTCAATCAAGCTAATCAACATAGCTGTTGCCTTGCTGACCTATCATTTTCATGGTGGAATCTTTAGAATGTACTTAGTTATTTTGAAATGCATGATGTCTTACTATTACTACTGGTGTCACGTGTTGTGGAACAGATCTCAAAGCTTACTCCTGCCGGTCTAAGACCTGATGCTCCTTGATCAACAACTGCCCATCCCCTCCCTCACCTGCCTCTGTACCACCATCTCTTCTCTATTCCATAAAAGTTTAATGGTTTTAGATTTCATATGTAAGTGAGACCATGCAGTATTTGTCTTTCTGTGTCTTGCCTGTTTCACTTAGCATAATGTCCTCTAGTTTTACCCAGTTGTTACAATGATAGGATTTCCTTCTTTTTAAGGGCTGAAGAGTATCTCATTGTGTACATATGCCACATTTAAAAAATCCATTCATCTGCTGCTGGACACTTAGGTTGATCCCATAGTCTGGCTACTGTGAACAACGCTGTAATGAACATGGGAGAGAAGATAACCCTTTGATATACTGATCTTAGTTCCTATGGATATAAGAAGTGGAATTACTGAATCACATGGTTGTTCTATTTTTCGCTTTCTATGAAACCTACATGTTGTTTTCCATAATGGCTGCACTAATTTACATTCCCGCCAGAATGTAAGTTTCTCCACACCCTCGCGAACACTTGTTATCTTCCATCCTTTTGGTAAAAGCTGTTCTTACTGATATGAAGTGATACGAGGGGAGATGCAAGAAAACCCTGGAGTTATCTTTTGGAGGGAGGGCCCCTCGCAGTACACTTGAAATTTGTTCCTCGGAATCAAATGGCCTATCCAAGTTTTTGTCTGGAAGTTTTGAGAGGGTTGCATCATGGTTTGTCGAAGAAACCTCCTGAGTGGTGGCAAACAGGTGACTGTTTCTTCCACAATAACAAGGTGCCTGCCCAGACTGTGCTGAGTGTTCAGCAGTTTTTGACCAAAAGCGGCATGGCCCTCAGGCCCCATCCGCCCTGTTCACCCGACCTCGCCCCGAGCGACTTTATTTTTGCTGCTCTGGATGAAAAGAGTCCTCACAGGGAAACATTTTGCCAATGTAGAAGAGGTGAAACAAAGAACGGCAGAAACCCGTAAAGGCATCACAATGGACAGACGAGTTCCAAGATGGTTGTGAGTAGTGGAAAAAGCGTCTTGACGATACTGCATCAAATGGAGAGTATTTTGAAGGTGACTGAGGTTTAAACGTGTAAGAATAAGCACAATTTTTATATATAAGTTCCTGTTTTTTTGGGTCTCCCTCATATCTCACTGAGGTTTTAATCTGCATTTGTCCAATGACTAGTTATGCTGAACATTTTTCTCATGTGCCTGCTGTCTGTATGTCTTCTTTTGAGAAATGTCTGTTCATGTCCTATGCCCAATTTTTATGTGGGTTGTTTTATTGCTGTTAAGTTGTTTGAGTTCCTTGTATATTTGGATATTAACCTCTTATCAGATGTATGGTTTGCAAATATTTCCTCCAGCTCTGTTGATTTTCCATTCACTGTGTACATGTTCCCTTTGCTGTGCAGAAGCTTGACATCTTGATGCCATCCCATTTGCCTATTTTTCCTGTTCTTTCAAGATCTTTTTTGAATATTTTCTCTGTCAGTTGTCTTTTGACTATTCATGGTGAAGTTTTTTGTCATGCAACATTAAAAAAAAGTCTTACGTAGTTGTCGATCTTTTCTTCTGCTCCTTTATATTTAGTTCTTGGTGAGAAAGCCTTTTCCTCACCATGCTTTCTCCTGATATTTGTATGGCTTCATTTTTTGATATTTAAATCCCTAATCTGCATGGAGCTTATTCTTCCACATGGTGTGAGGTATGGCATCGTTTATCTATGTGGCCCAGCACCATATAATTACAAGTCCAGCTTCAGCCAGCGTCCTGTGTCCACAGGCATTTGGGTCTGATCGTGAACTTTCTACTCTGCGCCACTAGTCTATCAGCCTATTTATGCAGTGAGGCCTGCTGTTTGGATTATAGGGGCTTTATAGTGCGCCTCAATGTCTTGTAGTCAGAACCCTGCTGTTTAATCAGCTGTAGCAGAGCTCAGGGTGATATTTACCTTTGTTATAATTTTAGATCTAAATAGCTAGATTCCACAGATTGCTACTATTCAATTATAAATTACTGATTACCTAGCCAAAGGGGGTTAAGGGCAAGGCTAAATAAAAATGTTAAAGAAAAGTGACTAACTTACTTAGCTCATCTGGAATTTCTAGAGAAGCAAATCTGGCATAACGTAAACAGTCTAAGTGAATTCAACCTACAGTTTATGAAACCCCATCTCAGAGGACCGGTAGAATTCCAGACTCTCCACCAAGATTCATGCTGGAGGCATATGAAGCTGATTCTGACTTGACCTTATAAATTGGCTGGGGACCATGACCATGTGTAAGCACCCAACTGAGTTCCTCGAGATTTCCTAATGGAAAATACTGACATTCACAAATAGTAACTGAACTTCCACGTGTGCCAGGCACTAGGCTAAGTTGTGGAGATACAGTAACGAGTGATATAAATATGAGACCCGTCGGCCCTTCACAGTTTATCAGGAAAGAGACAGTTAAACAAGTAATAATACTGGTGGGATAAATACTATGAGAGAGGAAATATAGGATGCTACACAGTTGGGGCACCTTAAGGTAATTTAGGAGAGCCAGAGAGGGCTTCCTAGCAAAAGCAATATTTAAGCTGAGATATAAGGAGGACAAGGAACCAACCAGGGTGTGGTCGTTTTCCAGACAATGGAAAACAGTATGTGCAAAGGCCCTAAGGCAAGACATGGCTTCGTACTTTCAAGGAATTGAAATCAGTTTCAGTGTGACAAGAGTGTAAGTGGGGAATGGAGGCAGATAAGGCATGGCAGGGGTTTTCAACTGGGGTGGCCATATCTGGAGACATAGTTGTCATAATTGGGCGTCGAGGGAGTGCTCCAGGAAGTAGAGGTCAAGAATACCTCTAAACATTCTACAATACACAGGACAACATTCACTCCATACCTCCCATCCCCAGAATTATCTGGTCCATAATATCTATCACTGAGTTAGATAAACAAAAGCCTATAGTCCGAGCTACTCAGGAGGCTGAGGCAGGATGACTGCTTGAGCCCAGGATGTCAAGGCTGTAGTGAGCTATGACTTGTGCCACTGTGGTCCCGCTTGGGTGACACAGTCTCAAGAAAGAAAAAAAGTATGAGCAGAGAATGAAGATGCTTTTAGAAACGTTCAGTGTGAAAACACTTATGCCGTAGGCATCCTTTCTTAGGAAGCCACCGAAGGGTATGCATCATCAAAATGAAGAGTAAAATAAAAAAAAAGATGGCACATAATTCAACACAGACATGACAGGAACTCCCAGGAAAACAACTAGGTGGTAAGCCTTGAGAGGATCCCAAGTCCAGATGGAGCTTGACAGAGGCTTTTGAGATAGACGTCTCCAGGGCAGAAAATGTAATTGATCAGTATGGAAAACCGTATCAGAGACAATTTACAAAACTTCATTAAGGGCTATAGAATGACTTAGTCAAAGGTTTAAAGAAAAATAAGCAAATTTTAAATGAGGCATTTCATAAACCCTAAGAAAAACAAAATTGTTCAAGAAGGAAACGTTATTCTTGGCTGCAGAGCGCACTAAGTTTGCACAGTATCAATACAGAAAATACTCTAATATGGATTCTGCCAAAAATCATGACATAACTGTATTGGGACGGTGACAGGAGAAAGGAAGGTAAAAGAGCTGTTAAGTCTCAGCATCCATAAGAAGCAGCAAAAGATAACATGCAAACTAATAAAAAGCTTTAGCAATATACGAGCATTGTCTGGAAACAGGGAGGGGAAACTCAGAGAAGCTTCCCTCAGAGCTCTGGGCGGGAGGTGCGGGGGGTGGGGTGTTGGGCAGAGGAACAACTGCTGGTATGGAGCACCATTTGACTTTCTTATGCCACTTTCACAAAAACAGAAATTTCAGGAAAGTTTTGAGCTGAGAATAACATTAAAAGTGCTGATTCCTTGCACAGTTATGCGGCACAAACTAGGTAAACTAGGTAACGTCTTGAGTCTCGACCTCTGCTAAGTAGTCACTAAAGGACTGGGTTTCCAAGGTCTTTCCAGCTCTATGGCTGGGATCCCACCGTAAGTTTCTCCATGTTTGCCCTGTACCCTTTCTGTACTTTGTTCACTGTGCTGAGGGTCATCCTACTTTGCTCCCAAACACTAAAGTGGAATGACCCCGTCCTCGGCGCAGCAACCCTACTGCACCTGTGCGGCGAGTCTTCGCATGGCCTCCTCCTGCCGCCTACGCATTTCTGGAGTTCCTGGGCAGCTTCCACTGGTGATGGAGGAGTGGGCTGAAGGTGGCTGTGTGAGTGGCAGCTCTCTGTTGGCATCCGCATCTGAGTTAAAAAGATGAGATGTTTGCATCAGGTCATCACAAAACTCTGAACGACAGGAACGTCGGGTAACTTCTACTAGTCCTATGACCCAGCAATCCCATTCCCAGGTATGTACTCAAGAGAAACGAAAACACATGTCCATGCACAAACTTGTACACAAATGCTCACAGAAGTGTGATTCATAACAGCCAAAAAAGCGGAAACTTAAATGTCCACCAACTGACGAGGAGGGAAAATGTACTAGATCCATAAAATGGACTATTACTCAAACAATAAAAAAGAACAAGATACTGACACATGCTATCACATGGATGGCCCTTGAAAATACTATGCTAAGTCAAAGAAGTCATTGAAAAAAAAAAAGACCACATATTGCATGATTCTGTTTACGTGAAAGGCCCAGAATAGGGAAATCCATAGAGACATAAAATGAATTAGTGCTACCCCGGGTTAGCAGTAGAGGGCTAGCGGAAATGTGAGGACTGACTGCTAACAGGCAGGTGTTTCTTTTGGGGGGACGAAAATGGTCTAAAATTAGATTACAGTGATGGCTGTACAACCTCGTGAATTACACTAAAAATACTGGATTGAACACTTAAATGGGTGCATCATATGACAGGCACATCATAGCCTAATAAAACTGCTTAAAATATTTTAAAGATTTCATTTGTTCCTGTTATTTAGAAAACGTATTCTCACTTACTACTAGAAATTATAGACTATGTTTATGAAGAAGATCACACATGAAAAACAAATACAGCCGGGTGAGGTGGCTTAAGCTTGTGATCCCAGCACTTTGAGAGGCCGAAGAGAGAGGATTGCCTGAGCTCAAGGGTTCGAGAACAGCCTGGGTAACTTGGTGAGAACTCGTCTCTACAATAAATTTAAAAAAAAAAGTAAGCTGGGTGTGGCAGTGTGTGCCTGTAGTTTCAGTTACTTGGAAGGCTGAGGCAGAAGAATCCTAGCAGGATTCTTCTAGCAGGTCAAAGCTGTGGTGGCTGTCAGCGTGCCACTGCACTTCAGCCTGGGCAACAGAGAGACACCCACTCAAAAAAAATCCCACAAAAGTAAATATCTGAAGTGGTTATTTGATGACCACTGGCTACAGGAAAGAAGAAGGGATAGGGGAGGTAGTGCTCACTTAACTCCCTCTCAGTGGGAAAGAATTCAGACTTCTTTTATCCACTGGTGCAATAACTTTCTTGGTCAATGGATAGAGTTCTGGATAATTACAAGGGGAGGGTGTGGAAGTTGGCAGTGAAAAAAGCCTAAAGAGTTGTGTGATGTTTTGAGTTGAGGTCAAGTTCTGTGATTGTGTGTCACTGTACTATTCATTCACTCTCTCCTCCCACTCCCCTTTATTTGGTATTTGATTTTGTGGGTATTTACTGTCCAAATACTCTATGTCTTCTAGCTACTCCCTTTTGGAGATGCTCTCCTTTTTGTCTGAATGCCCTACTTTCTGTTTGGAATTCAGAGAACAGAAGAAATAAAAGTTAACAGGTAGGCAGCAGTCAGTGTACACAGCAAATTGTCAAAAGAGACTTCTGAAATGACCAGAGCAGGGAGGGGAAGGTTACTTAACGCTGTTTGGGGGCTTGGCAGTTGTTGGCAAATGTCAAATTCAAATAATAACTACACTGAAACTTTTAGTGAGAGGAAAGTAGTTTTGTTTTCGGCTTCCCTAACTACTGTACTGAGTATACCTATCGTTAAGCCATAATGTCTGAATCATACAACACATCTATTTTCACAAAATATTTTTGTCCTTTGTGTGTGTGTTCGGAGGGTGGATAATCGTGGAGACTGATGGGGGAGTGGGGCTTGGGAGAGGAGGCGGAAAGCAGGTTGACAGGCTGGTGCCTGCTGACAGCTCTTTTGTAGCTTCCTAGGGAAAAAACAAGGAGGGGGTGGCTGGGGGCTAAGTGCCCGTGGGGGCAGGAGAGCCCAGCAAGGCGGCACTGCAGGACTCGCTGCTCCCATCTTCCACACACAGCAGCAGAGTGGGCAGGGGAAGGAGAAAGGATAACAGACTGTGTGGGGGCAGACGCTGGGAGCTCCAATAATTTTCCATTAATTTTCATTATAACTGTACCATTGCTATCACTGACCAAGGATAAAGAAAGCCAGTGAGAGTCCAATAAACTGATCCCAGCTTAATATAAGTTATACTCTGTCAAAAATAAACCGACTCTCTCTATTCAGACATCGTTCTTATTTATTAATTAAAGAATTCTGATGCTGCCAGTAACATATTCGGTGCCAGCTCATATAGTAAGTTAGACTTATGCCAGCAAAACGCAGCAGTCTGACCCTTCTTTAAGGACCACAGGTTTGCTACGATGGTGGAGGCAGGACATGGTTTGCCCACCAGCAGCTCACCACAAATGACTTTCTGTACGGCAATGCTGACTGGGGCGATTCTGATACAGACGTAACTATATACTGCAGCTCCCCAGCTCCTTTTTAAGTTCTGAAAAATAACTATCAGGCCAACTCTCCAGTCTCAACAACGGACACTTATCTCATGAACGGGGAGTATTCCAGTGTTTTTGGAGATTTCCAGGATTAAAAGGCAAAGATGCTAGAGAACAGCCTAATGAACTGCCTTTACAGATCCTCTGCTGTGGGGAGCCTGGCTGCTTTCCATTAACTCCTGCTTTTCCAGGCTCGGGTGGATCCCAGGTACCTTTGCTTTCTGGGAAAGCAGCTCTCTTGCCCTTGGGACTCACCTTCTGCCATGCATGATTCTACCACTCTGTTATCTGCAACAGCGATACACAGAGGAGCCAGAGACACCGCTAATTCTCTGGTTTTCTTTCTGACACACTCAAATAGCCAACCTCCTGGCCTACTCGGATAAGAAGTGGTTTGGTATGATGGTTAAGCACTCAAAGGAAAATAACGCAATAGGTGTATAAAGTTACTTCCAACTAGGAACGTGTTTTCAGAACCAAATTTTAGCACAGAAAACATTCTTAAAGATCAACTAGGGACATTTATTCAATTTACAGATGAGAAAACTGAGGTCTAAAGAATTAAAGTAGAATTCTCACGTTCACAAAATGTACCCCATTTTGTGCCCCAATTGAGTTTTGGGGCACAAACACCGGGCTCTTGAACCCCACAGACTATGCCAACCTACCTCATAAGAGCTTCATTTAGAAACTATGCCTGATATTCCTCCCAAGAAAATAATTTGTCTAGGCCTGGCATGGTGGCTCACGCCTATAATCCTAGTATTTGGGGAGGCTGAGGTGAGAGGATTGCTTGACCCCAGGGGGTTGAGACCATCCTGGGAAATTTGCTGAGACTTCATCTCTACAATAAATCAAAAAACTAGTTGGGGGTGGTGGTGCGTGCCTGTAGTTCCAGCTACTTGGAAGGCTGAGGTGGAAGGAGGTCACCTAAGCCCAGCAGGTCGAGTTTGTGGTGGCCGGGAGCGTGCCACTGTACTCCAGCCTGGGAGACCTGGGTGATAGAATGAGACTCCAACTCAAAAAAAAAAAAAAAAAGAAAAAAGTAAAAAAAATGAAAATAATTTGTCCATACCCATTTTTACCATACCCTAGTGTAAAGGGGGAATTTTGATCAACTAGTTTTCTCTCTAGTTACTAGTTCTTCTTCCACATGTAGACAGCTGTAAGTTTACCAAGGATAATCTGCCTCCTAATGACACAAGACTGCTAGCTAGAGTCCATAACGAGCCAAGATGTCTGGTTAGGTCTCTAGCAATGTGCTAGACCCTGTAACTACTCTGATCTCAGACAAATCATTTCTAGTGGCTGCTGCTGATGTCTGTGGTGAACTAGATTACTGATTTGGACTAGCAGAGCGATAGTCTCGTTTGCTTTTTTATAACTAACAAAAAGCAGGTAGACTAGTTCTCTACACATAGCGTGCAGTATGTACAGAAAGAACATGGATACATTTCTGTTTATTTTCCTTACTTGAGTTGTACCAATAAGGAGAGGCTGCATAACACAATGAGCAAGAAACAGCCTCTGAAGCCAGACTGCTCCTGCTCACCACATACTGGCCACAGGCCTGGGAGAACTTACTCAACCTCTCTGGGCCTCTGAGTACTTACCTGTGACAGGAAGACAACCTCGCTGAGCTGAAAACACAATCGGATGAAACTAATATTTGCAAAGTACTCATAGAGTGTCTAGCACATATCAAGTATCATATGCATGTTTTAAAAATAAACCAATGAAGTCGTGATCATTAAGCTGTGGCTGCTTGTGAGGAAAGAAGCCTGAGGACATACGAGAGCCCAGCACCTCCTATGGTGGCAGGAGAGACCTTCAAGACGTGATGAAGCCCAAGCGTGCGATGCTGACGTCAATGGCAAGGAAGCGAAGGCTGCAAACAGACTGTGCTGGCAGGTAACAAGAGCTGGGCACAACTGGGCGGGACCCAACAGCAATGGATGCAGCGGCTCAAAGGCCATCGCCACAGTCACCCACAGCCAGGTCAGCCCCATAGCCAGCAGGAGTTCCAAAGCATACATAGGTGACTGCGGGATATGTGAGTCAGATGTCATATTCTTTCTCTCAACTCTGAATTAATGGTCCTCACATGCAAGTCAGGTTTTGCAGATCAGAAAAGGACATGGGACCTACTATGACTGTGCCAGAAAACCTCTCTGAGTCAACGAAGCAGGGAGTCCTTTGAACAGGAATACATACGTTTAGGGGAGGCATGTGGGCTGTCTGAGGCGATCTGTCTCATCCGCGTACCATGGCAGCTGAGGGCCACCAGTCTAGAGATGATGGCGGTTTTGCCAAACCCAATGTTTCCCACAATCACTACTCCTTGGTTCACGCTGGCGTCTGAACTCTGCAGTTGAGCATCTATTTCGTGGAAAACCCAATCCCGGCCAACAAACACCGACTCTGTAGTGATGCTGGGTACTTCAAAGAGGAGCGGTTTCAGGGAGATATCTGGAGGCCTATAAGGTGCAAAGCGAACTGAAAGGAACAAGAGAACACAGAATTTAGGTCAAAATCCTGAGAGAAACTAGGAGATAAAAAGGCAGTGGGGCAGTGGGGCTCAAGAAACATTTACAGTATGATGGAATTCTGGGCTTACTCAGAAGGAAAAACACCTCTGAATGTTGGTTCCATACCCGATAAGCAATGCAGGGGGGCTAGAGCCATCTGACAGGACAGATGGCAGAACACAAACACCGATACACAGTAACGATTTACTCAGTCAGAAACTCAGGGGACATTCAGAATGATTAAACGCAGGCATGACCCAAGCACTCGCAGTCAATTCAGATGCAAGAGTACGCAGTCAAAGGTTCCAATGCCCCTGCTCTTCCTGGGGATCAACTCTGAATTGTCAGGTTACGGGCAGGTGCAGGTGTGGAGCTCCTCAGGACAGGCCAAGCTGTGGGGGGCCTCGGGTAGCTCACGGCAGCAGCTCTTTACCAGCCACAAAGGATGCGTGGCAACATTTGGCAGCCGATATGGCTGTCCCAGTACAAATCAGCAGCAACTCAGTTCTGAAGAAGGCTGTGTAACGGAAAGACGCTTGCTTCTTTAAACACAACAATGAGAACAGTAACTCCCGTAAGTTCACAAAGACATATTTTTTGAAATCTAGTAGGTATATTAGGGGAAGCAAAGGCCCTACAAGCTCTTACGGTTTAAATGATCTTAAACATGTTAAGCAGACAAGGAGGCAGAAACCAAGCTTCTGCTCAATTTCCTTGCACCTGTACTGCCTGTATTCACGCCAATTTAAAAGGATGATTTTTGGCTTACACACGTCTTGGGGACAGATTCCCACTGCTTTTCTCAATAATTTCCCCCAACTTGTACAATTATGGAAAGTGCGAAGGGCCAAGCACGAGCTGTACTTTCAACAGTTCTCTAAGAACGCAGAATTGATGTGACCTGATTTCAAAGGGTTTTCAACCTGATTACTTTGATGGTAAAAGGAAGTCCTCCCTGATCAGCCCTGTCAGGGAGTGCCAAGTGCCCTCCTGATTGTTCCTGGTGTAGCTCTACGACGTAACAGTTTATCTGTCTGAAACTAGGTAGTTCTGTACCTTTAATCTTAGCATACATAGTGACTGATATATACGAGTAGTAGGTGCTCAGTAAATGATTCAGGAAAGAATTAATTAAAAATAAAGTAGTACACTCTAACTCCATTTTATATTTTGGAGCACAAGAGAGGCCAGGAGTGGGAAGAGGATGGGGACTGGTGAAGGGGAATCATAAAAGGGGAAAATGAGGTTATTTATACTGCTTCTATTATTCTAGAACATACCTGAGCTACTTAACACATTGTCAAGTGGAAGCTAGAGGTGGCAGCTTACTTGAGAACACACACGCACACAAGCTCTCATTTAAAACTGCCTGAAAGCCATCCCAATGGTAACTGAGCATTTAACAAGGATAAACATTCAAAAAGGAGTATAATTAAAAATACAAAGTCAAATTCTGTAACAGGAGCAAATGGTTTCCTAAATCAGTTTTTAAATATCCCAAATTTTCATGAAATAAAAGGGAGGGTGAAGATACACCTGCATGGTCATGTAAAATTTCCTAATTCACAGCTCTTTAGCAAAATCTACTCTTCTAAAATCCATAACTATAATTACAGAATTCAGTGAAAAATTTGCCAAAAGTTTAAAAATATTAAAAACACTCTTTAAAATCTAATGTCTTCTAGCTAATAGTTTCCATTTTACTTCCCTCATTGTTTTATTAAGATGTAATTCACACACTTGAAATGTCTCCTTTTAAGGACACAACTCAGTGGGTTTCAGTACATTCGCAAAGCTGTGCCACTGTGGTCACGAGCTCGCCCTGTGAGCCTGAAGTGTTTCACGCCTCAAAGGAGACCTGTACCTGCTGGCGGCCATCCCTGCTCTCCTCTCCTCCCAGGCCCCGGCCACCACGCAACTACTTTGCCTCCATGGATTTGCCTCTTCTGGACATTTCGATGCATGGACACGCATAGTATCTGGTCTTTGTGTCTGACCTCCTCCACTTGGCATCGTGTCGGAGGTTCATCCGTGCCACAGCATTTGCCAGCACTTACTTCTTCTTACTGCTGAATAACACTCCACCATATAGACATGCCCCATTTTGTTTACCTATTTATCAGCTGATGAACATCTGCCCTATTTTCACTTTTTGGCTGTTATGAATTACGCTGTTATAAACATTCATGCACAGGTCTTTATGTGAATATGTTTTCAATTCTCATAGCAATGAATCTAGGAGTGAAATGTCTGGCTCATACAGAAACTCTTACGTTAAACAATTTGAGAAACTGCCAAACTTTTCTCTATTTTATTTTTACTTTTTTTTCACACACATAATATACATTCACGATAGAAAACTCAGGAATAGCAATAAACAAAATAACTGTACTTCTATTAGCCAGAGAGAAACACTGTTAACATATATTCTGAGTTTTGTCTATAGCATACTCATTTTAAAAACAAAAGATGGAATCGTAATATATAAACTGTTACATAATCTGCTCTTTTCACTTAGGATATACTGTGAACTACATTACAAAACATAAATCTATATGATAATTTTAAATATATGTATACATTCCATTATATGACTAAATTACAATTTATTTAACTAACATCTTATTGTGGATATTAGATTATTTTGGTTTTCTATGTTATAATCACAGCTAACAATGAAACAGCCTTTACTTTGTGCTGGGAACTGCTTCTAAGCATGTGCAGAAGTCCTACAAAGTGAATACTATTATTTCCATTTTATAGATTAGGAAATTGAGGCAAAAAGAGATTAAATTATTTGTCTAAGGTTTTTCACCAGTCTGAATCTTATCCACGAGGCTCTAGTTTCTCATAAAAAGCAGGACTATAATCAGTGGTATAATAAACATCACTGTAGATTCACCTTGGCACACCTGCCGTACTATTTTCTTGAAACAAAAGGCTAACATTGAAATATCTGGGTCCATGGGTTGTGCATTTGACACGTCTTGCCAAACTGGTCTTCAGAAAGATCATACTGGTCACGTGAGAATGATCACATCCTTCCCAATCTCACCATCACTGGGCAGTATTGTTATGCTTAATCCTTGTTAATCGAGTAAGAAGGCAGCTCATTGTTTTTAAAATGTATTTTCTTTACTAGGAAGGTGTTTTTTAAAAACATGTTTATTGGCTATTTGCAACCTTTTGCAAACTGCCTGTTCATGGCTTTTGTCCATATTTATTTTGTGATGCCTGCACTTGTTTTGGTTAAGAACATTTAAAAAATTAAGGACATTAATCATTTCCTTTCATATTTATTTAGTGCAAATAACTTATCCAGTTCTTTGCCTTTAAATTTTATTTCTTCCTTTTATTTTTTTAACTTTTAAAAAGTTTATGTGGCCAAACCTGTTAGTCCTTTTCTTTACGGTTTCTACCTTCAGCATTGTTCTCGAAGAAGTCCTTTTCAGTCCAAGAGAATAATAATATTAACATTTTTATCCTAGTGCTTTTTAGAGTCTGGTTCAAAGTAGGGATCTAACTTGATTTTTTTTCTCCCCAATTGGTTAACAAAGCTGAACTGTCACTAGTTTTTTTTTGAGTTGGATTCTCACTCTGTCGCCCAGACTGGAGTGCAGTGGCCACTCCCAGTCACCGCAGCTTCGACCTGCTGGGCTCTGGTGATCCTTCCGCCTCAGCGTTCCGAGTAGCCGGAATTACGGCTGATTTTTGATTTATTGTAGAGATGAGGTCTCGTTGCCCAGGCGGGTTTCGAACCCACGGGCTCAGGCAATCCACTCACCTCAGCCTCCCAAAGGCGCGGGATTACAGGCTGAGCCACCGAGCCCGGCTTGTCATTAGTTTTTAACGCTTACTTTATCTTATTTTATTTTTAAAGATTCATGGGGTTCAGGTACAAGTCTGTTCCGCGGTAAGCTGTGTGACGAGGAGGCTTGGGCTTCTAGTGTTCCTGACACCTGAATAATGAACACTGTCCTCAGTAGAAACATTTCTTAACCCTCACTCCCATTCTTCTCTCCTTTGTGATCTCTAGTGTCTATTACTGTCTTCTGTATGTCCACGTGTGCCCACTGTTCAGCTCCCACTTGCAAGTGAGAACATGCAGTGTTTCATTTTGTGTCTGAGATATTTCACTTTGGACAATGGCCTTCACCTCCATCCATGTTGCTGCAAAAGACACAGTTTCATTCTTTTTTATGGCTATGTAGTATTCCATGGCTCATACATACCACATTTTATTTATCCAATCATCCACTGATGGACACTTAAGTTGATTCCATGACTTTGTTACTGTGAGTAGTGCTGCTATAAACACACCAATACATTTTATTTTCTTGAAACAAAAAGCGAGAAGTGAAATTTCTGGGTCAACGGGTTGTGTTTCTGACACATTTTGACAAATTCCATGTGTCTTTTTGACGCAATTATCTATTTTCCTTTGGGTAGACATGCAGTAGTGGGACTGCTGGGTCAAATGGTGGTTCTCTCTGCAGTTCTCTGAGAAATCTCCAAGCTGTCTTCCACAGAGGCTGTACTAATTAACATTCCCACCAGCAGTGTAAAAATGGTCTCTTTTCTTTACATCCTTGCCAACATCTGATTGTTTTTTACTGTTTTTTTTTTTTGTTGCTACCATGCAACAAAAACTTTTATTAACATTTTGAACAGGCTCAGCTATTACTGAAACTGGTAATTTCTAAACTTGTATTGGGACAAATGGATATAATGCAGAGTAATGCCATCATTGGGCACCATGAATACAAGACTGAAGAATTGACAGTCACCCCTCGGACAGACGACAAGGTGCAGGGTGACTCTTTCTGAATGCTGTAATCAGAAAGAATGTGGCCCTCTTCCAGCTGTTTGCCTGAGAAAATGAGCCTCTGAGGTCATGAGGGACTCCTGTTTATCCTGGATCTTGGCCGTCACATTTTTGATGGCATCACTGGGCTGAGCCCCCAGGGC